ATAACAGAGTCGCGGCGGCGACGCTGTTGCTCGATAGCGGGAGCGAGGTCGACGCCGGGGATAATGAAGGGCAGACGGCGATGCATTGGGCGTGCGTTCGAGGCGCGCTTCCGTGCGCGGAGTTGTTGCTGCGACGCGGGGCTAATTTGAACGCCGCGGATTCGCGCGGGTACGTTCCGCTGCACGTCGCGGCGCAATACGGGCACACGGGGATGATTTATCACTTCAAGATGCGGTGGAACGTGGACGTGGACGTCACCGATCTCGACGGACGAACCGCTCTGCACTGGGCGTCGTACAAAGGATTTCCAGACCCCGTCAAGCTTTTGATTTGCATGGACGCGGACATCTATGGAGCCGATAAGGAAGGGTGCACGCCGCTTCACTGGTCCGCGATGAAAGGAAAGAGTGAGGCGACGCATCTCTTGGTCCAAGCCGGTGGGTCTAGCGTCCTCACCGCCGTGGACGTCGACGGGAACACGCCCGAGGCGTTGGCCACGGACAAGGGACACCACAGCCTGGCGTACTTTCTCCACAACCAACACAGGCAGCTGAGCACTCGGGATCACTTTTGGACGCAAAAAGGCATGGCGGTGGCGTGCCTGTCTCTCATCCTCGGCCTGATGTTGGGCTTCACCCATTACGTGATGTTCGCCTCGGGCGTGGCGACGATGGACGTGTCCTTGGCGTTTTGGTCGCTCGTCGTGTTGGGGTCATCGAGCGCGGGATTGTATTACATGCGCCGCGTGTCGAACGCCGATCCAGGCTTCGTTACGGCCGCCGCGCTGTCGTCTCTGCGAAGAGGCACGCGTCCGAGCTCGGCCGCGAATGATGTGGACGACCGATTGAACCACTCCGAGCTTTGGGCTGGGAACTGGAACCAGCTGTGCGTCTCGTGCAAGCTCGTGAAGCCGTTCGGGACCAAGCACTGCTCGATGCGAGACAAGTGCGTCGCTAGATTCGATCACTACTGCCCTTGGATGGGGAACACGATCGGTAAGCGTAACCACAGAGACTTCGTCGTGTTCCTGATCCTGGAATCGTTCGCCATGGTGGTCGCCTTCGCCGTCGCCGTCGTTCGCTACGGCGAGGAGAGCCCCGGGGAAAAGTACAGAAATAACACCGGCATCTTGATGTTCGCCGCGTTCGACGCCTTGACGCTCTTACCAGTGATCATGCTGACGATCTCCCAGCTCGTCCAGGTGGCGCAAAACGTCACCACGAACGAGCTGAGCAACGCGCACAGGTACTCGTACCTCAAGTCCTCGGACGGCGCCTTCGTCAATCCGTTCGATCGCGGCTCTCATCTCGCCAACATCCGCGCCTTCTTCTTCCCGAGCAAGAACGCACCCTTAATCGACGACATCGCCGCCGGTCTCACCGCCGTCACCGTCGATCGCACCGTGTAATATCCATCCCTTTACGGCGCGCCGCGCGGTCGTAGATATCACCCCCCCCCCCCTCGAGTCACGACCCACGAACACCACGAACACGATGCTCGGGTGCCGACCATCGCGCGCCCATCGTCCGCGTCGCCCGTCACACGTCCGCGCCCTCGACCGCGCCGCCGTCTCGTCCGCGCGCGACGGCATCCGCGACGCCCCCGAGGCCTCGCCGCGGGCTCGCGCGCGCGTCCGAGCGCGCGTCGTCGTCGACCGATCGTCGACCGTTGGCCCACGCTCGGGCGATCTCGTTCGATCGCGATGGATGCGCTCGCGCGTGCGGTGGTGCGCGCGACGCGCGGGGCGCAAGCGAACGGTGACGGCGCGCGTGGGATCGCGACGCGCGCGATCGGGGCGCCGCCGCGACGGCGAACGTTGGAGGGATTGGGCGCGGCGACGCGGGCGCCGGGACGGGCGGCGCGACGAAGGAAATCAAAGAGTCGAGGTGGCGCCGACGACGCGTTCGATGACGGTGACGACGGTGGATTCGGTGGATTTGGTGGATTCGGCGGCGGTGGAGGGGGGGGCGATGGTGAGGGCATGGGATCGGATGGAGACGACGACGACGACGAGGACGAGGACGCGTTTGAATTCAAAATGAATCTGGATGAGTTGCTCGATTTCGAGCGTAAGGTTCTCGCCGACGCCGCCGTGATCGATGCGCACGCGTTATACGCGTGGCAAAGCGCGTGCGCGGTGACTTTGGTCGGGTGCGTGCAGCACGTGATCGATACGGCGGTGGAGCGCGTCCGAGCCGGAGGGACCCTGACGTTCGCGTGAGCGTTCGAAAGCGGACCGGGCGAACACGACGAACGCGCGCGTCTCGCGTGGTCGCACCGGATACTACCATATTAAGACGTGTACGATATTACGAAATACGCGGCGGTGTCCCGCGAGGGACGCTCTCGCGCCGGTGTACTTGAACATTTTGACTGTTGTAAAGTTCGATGCATGATGTGAGCGTACGCGTCGCCGCGCGCGCGACGACCCCACCGCACACACCGACGCGCGACGACGATGCGGGCGTCACCCGTCGCGTCGACGCCGTGTCGCTTCCTCTCGCACGGCGCGCGTCCCTCGACCCGCGCGTCGGCGTCGAGGGACGACGGCGTCGCCGCGGAGGCGCGGGACGGCGTCTTCAGGGCGAGCGGATACCGCACCTTTTACGACGACGTCGAGAGCGAGGACGCGACGACGGTCAAGGTGGACTGCGGACCGGTCTCGGCGTACCTCGGTGGGACGTACGACGGGGAAAAGGTGGCGTGGCGATCGTCCGGGACGACGCCGGCGGGCGAGCGGGACGCGCGGGCGACGCGGAGGACGTACGCGTTCGATCGCGTGCTCGCGCACGGAGCGTCCACGATCGTTTCCGTGACGGAAGAGCGACCGTTGGGGATCATATTCGAGCCCGACGCGGATGGACGCGTGCGCGTGGCGGATTTCGTGGTGGGGTCGAGGGCGGCGCGCGCGAACGACGCGGCGGCTTTGGCGCCGTTCGGCGCCGATTGCTGTCGAAGAGGTGACGTTTTGAGGGCGTTCACGGCGACGCAGGTCGCGTTCAAGAGCACCGCGGCGCTCACAGGGGATCTCTCGGGGACGAAGCGCGTGCGGACGCTCTTCGGCGCCGACGGAAGGACATGGGGCGAGGTGCAGGCCGCGCTCGCGAACGGACGCAAGGCGGACGGACCGATCACGCTCGTCCTCGAGCGCGATTCTGATCGCGCTCGCGCCGAAGCGTGGCCGCGTCCGCCGGAGGAGATCGAGTTCAGAGGACTCGGTGAGGAGACCACGACGGCGAAGCGCGCGCGAGAGCGTCTGGAGAGCGACGACGAGGAGACGACGCGCGCGAATATCGCGTTCGCGTCCGCCGCGGTCGCGTTCATCGGCCTCATTCTCGCCGGTTTTTCGTGAGTCGAACCGATATTTGTCGTCGCGATAGTTTCGTAGTATTTCGCACGGCGTCGTTTTGAAGTGTAGATCGTAGTCGTAGGATGAATCGGTTCCAGTGTACAGCACGCGTTAGAATACAACATTTTGGGCGGTCAACGCTTGCGGTCCTCGAGTTTGCTCCTCAAGCGCTCGTGCGTCGGATTTCGAGCGGGAGTGGACGATTTCGCGGGGGCGTCTGGATCGACGCCTACGATGGTACCGCCGGCGATCTCATCCACCTCGCCCCCGACGTGAAGTTTGCGAGACGTATCCAGGAAGAGCATCAAGTCTCGATTTTCATCCTCGAGCTCCTTGATGCGCGCATCCTTGAGACGGATCTCCACCGTCTTACGCTTTTCCGCGCGTTCGCCCTGCGCCTTGAAAGCCTCGACATTTTCACCGAGCGTGTCGCACAGCGTCTGGAGGTGTTTAATCTCCGATCGGAGCCCCTCGATCGTCTTCACATGCCTCGCGTTCGCCTTTTGCGCCGCGCTGAGTTCGCGCTTGGCGTTCTTTGCCTCGTCCACGGCGCGCGCGAGCGTCGCGGCGTTTCGATTTTCCTCATCCTCTCGCGTGATCGTCCCCTCCACGCGCGCGGTCGCCGCCTCGAGGAGATTTTCAAAGTACTTGCGCTGCGACTCGAGCTGAGACGTCAAGAGCAAATCGTACTCACTCGCGATGGCGTCGAGTTTGGACGCCACGAGCGCCTCCTCGAGCTCGGCGTCCAGGTCGCTCACATCTGGCGCTCTGTTCGGCGAACAGCTCGACGTCTCGTCGTACCCGCCCCCACCCCTCGACGTCGACGCCCGTCGTCGCTCCGGCGGCGTGAGCTCGACGAGTCCCGATTTACTCTGAATTAACCGATGGACGAATCCGTCCGAGACGTAATCCCACACGCGCTGCGTCCCGAGCTCGAGCGAGTACGTGTGATTCGTCTCCTTCCAATGATTCACCGCGCACGCCCCCGCGTATCTCCCGCATCCCACCTCGCCGCAAATCAAGCACACCCACAAATCACCATCCGTCCCACACGTCGCGCACGTCGCCCGCTCCTCCGCCTCCCCCGCGACGTGTCGACACACCGGACACGACGCGTCCGCCCACCGCTCCAGACACGCCGCGTGAAACGTGTGATCACAAATCGTCGTCGCGATCCCGCTCGCGTCCGCGTCCAACCGATCCAGACACACCGGGCACGTCGGTACCTCCGTGCGCGTCCGCGCCGCCTCCCTCGCCGCATCGCCGTCGCCGTCGTCGTACGCCACGCTCTCCACCCGCACCGCCGCGCACGTCTCCGCGCTCGACGCCCGCAATCGTCGTCCGTGGTAATTCTCCACGAACGCCTCCGCGTCGGCGTCGCGGTCGAACTCCAACACGACGTCGTACGTTCCGGACGCGCGCGCGCCGTCCCCAGCGCTCTTGAGCGCGCGCATCGACCGCGCGCGCGACGTCGCGCCCGCGGCGAAGCGACAGAAATCACTCAGCGACATGGATGACGGCACGCCCAGGGCGCACGCGCGCGCGCGGTCGTCCCCGACGCGCGCGGGGGCGTCGGCGTCGTCCTCGCGCGCGCGCGGGGCGAACAAGCGCACGCGCGCGGCGTCGACGACGACGGCGTGCGCGCGCGATTGCATGGATGGGCGGCGTGGTGTGAAGGAGTTCGCGAGTCATGACTCGTAAAAAAGTCCCACAGACGCATCATCATCATCATCGCGACGCCCGTGACACGTCGACGCCGCGAACGATGCCCGCGTCCAGGCTCTCCAGGGCGCACGACGCGCTCGAGCGCGCGCACGCGATGATCCCGCGCGCGCGCGAGGCGGTGGATGACGACGACGACGGACGTGGACGATTCGCGAAACGGGCGAGCGGGACGGCGGCGGCGCGCTCGAAGCGAAAGGCGATGAAAAAGGCGTCGTTACGGCGACGATCGGGCGATGATGCCGCGGAGGACGATGGCGGGGATGACGGTGAGGCGTCGGCGCGAGATGGCGCGTCGGGGGATGGGACGGTGGTGGACGGAGGGGACGACGCGGATGACGGGTCGGCGCCGACGGCGTGGCGACTCGAGCGCGCGTCGAGAGACGCGCTGGATGCGTTGCGAGAGCGGTTGCGAGAGAAGATTGAGCGGTCGAGAACGGCGAGACGGGCGAGGGAGACGGTGGATACGGCGATGGAGGCGAAGGAGTGGAGGGAGAAGCGGAACGCGGCGAGACGGGAGAAGAAGCGCAAGGCGGCGGCGAACGCGACGCTCAAGGAGGCGAAGCGCGAGGGCGAGGCGAAGCGGATCAAGGGGGCGAACGGGGAGGGGGTGAGAGGCGTGAACGATGGAGGGGATGATATGGTGTTCGGACGCGTCACCGCGGACGACGACGTCGAGCTGAACTCTGGACGGAAAAAGAAGAGAGAGAGCAAGGAATCGCTCCTGCGCAAGGCGCAGGCTCGACAAAAGGCGATCGACGACGCGGGTGGGGAAGACGGCGGAGGTAAAGCGATCGCGGAGAAGTTTGCGTGGGAGGCCGCGCTCTCCAGGGCCTCGGGCGAGAAGGTGTTGGACGATCCGAAACTCTTGCAAAAGAGCATCAAGCGCGAGCAGCGCGCAAAGAAGAAGAGTCGCGAAAAATGGGAGGAACGCACGGCCAAGGTTCAAGAGCAGATCAACGCGTCGCAGAAAAAAAGAAAGGACAATATCAAGGCAAAGAAGGACGGCCGGATGGAGAAGAGGATGGAAAAGATTGATAACAAGCAACGAAAAAAGAATCGAGCGGGGTTCGAGGGACGAACCGGAAGCGGCGGGTTCATCAACAAGTAGTCCGTGGTTTGTCGAATGCTACGTAATCCATCTCGTTTTTACACCTCGCTAAGAACGCGTCATCCGCCCTTTGCCGTCCAGAAGCCGTTGTAGTCCAGCTTGGAGCTCAGGGACAGGAGTTTGATGTCCACGTCACCCGAGTCGTTCAACGCGTTGAGCAAATCGGTCAACAAATCAGTGAACCGCGACTCTGTCTCCCGCATGATGGTACTCACCTCGTCCTCGAGCGCATCCATGCGTTTGACGCCAGCCTGGTCGTCCATATCGGCCAACGTGCGCTCGATGGCACCGGCTAAACGTTGGCAGTCGCGCGCGAAACGCACGCACGTGGACCGCAAGCGATCGAGGCGCTTGAGCAGCTTTGGCCAGAACAACGTGGCGTCCTTCATGCAAGACTCCAAGAAGGCACCGTGGATTGCGATGAGTTCATCCACGGATCGAGCCTCTTCCATTTGAGCGCTCATTTTGTCCCAGTGCGGCTCGATCACCTCGTTCGTGACGTAGTACAAGTAGTTTTGTAGGAAATTCAGCATTCGCTGGTTGAGTACGTGCGCCTTAGCGAGAGCGTTCCGGCGCAGTGAGCGAAGTCGCTGCCATCCCGCGCAGAGCTCACGCTCGGCATACTTGAAACCGAACAAATGTCTGAATAAAATTTGATACATGGTCACCGCTCGACGGTTGAGCACCACGCTCGCTGGCCAAGGGGCGTCGTAATCGAGCACGAACGTATCAAAACCTGTCAACTCGTCCGCATTCGAAGTCGATGGTGGAGTCACCCCATCGCCGTCGTCCATCTCAGACAGTTGCTGAGTGAGACGGTGTCCCTCGACCGAGCATGACATATCGTCGCTGTGAAGATCGTTCGCCGCGCTCGATGATTTCAACGCGAGATCGAGCAACGTGTCGAGTTTCGACAGGCGAATGTCATCAGAATCTCGCTTCAGTTCAGCCGCGGCGGTGTCCAAGAAAAACACAAGGTAATCTCCACGCGCGTGCAAGAAATACATCTTCATGCTCTCGAGTCGAGCCTTTAAATCTCCCTCTTGCCACATGATATGCAACAATTTGCTCGCGGCGTGCTCAAATCTTTCGGCAATGCGATCGGCATACTTCCCAGTGCCAACAATCATGTTCGGCCCGAACTGCATTCTACCCAGTCCATCGCTCGGTTTGGCGGGAAGCTCAGCGAGCGACGCGAGACTAGTCTCGCGCACTGCGTTCAGGTACCGTCCCGTGGTGAGTATCTTTTGCGCTAGCTGTTCGCCGATGAACTGCGGGAACTCCTCGCGAAGTGAGTACCGCTTCGTCCAGTACGCCGAGTTATAGTCGTCATTCAGAGACTGTTTCTTCATCTCTTGCTGTTCAAGGATGAGGAACTCGTCGTACGGATCGTCTACTTGGCCGTCGTATACCCAGAGCTCGATGGCTTGAATGTATGGTTTCGCCGCTGCCTTGCTCAGGCGCTGAACCAGCGCCAATACGGCGCTGTCACCAGCGTGTTCGCACCCTTCGCGATGCAAAAGATTCAGCACGCTTGCACCCTTCAAATAGAACGCACGGCTAGCGATGTTCGCCATCAGGCGCAGCGCGGGCGCCGCCGGCTGGCAGTAGAACCACGCCGCCTGAAGCGATAGAGAGCCAATGTTTCGCTGGTGCTCCAGCTGCACAATCAGCGTGCTCCAATCGTTCAGGAGCTCGCGCAAGTCCGCCGCTAAAGCGTGCGAGACGAACCCGTGCTTGAAGTCTTGCCGCGATTCTATGAATGCCCGAACAGTCGCCGCGTCCGTGCACAGTGGTAGCATGTTATTCACCAACGCTGCGAGCGGCGCCTCGAGTCCAATCTCCACCTCAAACTTCACGCGCGCGAGGCGGCTTCCCTGGACAACGACACCCGATCGAGATTCCTCATCCGTACTCCTCCAAGCGCTGATGTATCTACCATCTATCCCCATCATGGCGTACAGCAAGTCATCGAGAATCAACAACTCCTGCTCGGCGGTGCCATATTCGCTAAGCGCTCTGATGTTCCTATCTTGCTCCGCACCGCTACCCAGATGCGCGCCGGTGAGATAAGGGCGCTTGTAATTCCAATCTGGTAAACGCGGACCCTCGGCTAGCTCGTTCGGTCCGAGCGGGACGAGCGTGCGCTCAGGCTTGCCGAAACTCGCTCCGACGCGTTTAACCGCGCTTCCGACGCTCATGCGTCCAAAGTCTCCCGCCAAATTCTTCGCACCCGCCCCACCGGTGTCCTGCGAACTTATCGAGCTCGTGACGTTCCTTCCGAGTGCGGCGTATCGCTCCGGCGTTCCCAAACCACCCGGCGAAGAAATCGTCGCCGGACTCTCCGGCTCCTCCGTCTCCCTCGACTCTCCCATCCTCCCAGCCGCCGCCTCCGCCTCCGCCGCGCGTCCTCCAGCCTCAGAAACCGCGAACGCGAGTTCCTCATCGCCCGCAATCTTCGCCAGAACCGCCAGGTATCGATCCAACTCCTCCACTCCGCGCGCGCGGAGTCCGTCGCACGCCTTCGCGAACGCCTCGGGATCCCTCGACCGCGCGCTCAGCGTCCGCCGCGCCTGCGCCTGCGCCACCTTTGTCACGTCGTACTTCGACACCATCTTCTCCAGCATCGCCGTCGACGCCGAGATCAGGGACTCCGCGAATCTATGCTCGGGGTCCAACCCGAGCGCGCGCGTCAACGCGCGCACCGATCGCTCCAGCGCGTCGCGATCGCCCGCCGCGTCGCCCGCCGACGCGGCGCTCGAGGACGACGCGCGCGCGTCCGACATCCCGCGCTCGATCGGCGCCGAGCGCGGACGCGACGTCGCGCTCGAGACGACGGACCGAAGACGCCGGGCGCAACGGCTTGTGACCCCGCGCGCGCGATCGAGGCGTCGTATTCAAGCATTTTCGTCGATACGCCGTGTGTGATCGAACGAATCGTACACACAGTACGAGCCGTGGACGCCGTATGCATACAGACGCGCAGACGCTAGGGTTGCGCGCGCGCGCTCGGCGCGAGCGACGGCCGACGCGCGGGCGTCGACGCCGCCTCTTTGCGACGCGAGCGAGCTCAAGATGGTGCGTGCTCGCGAACGCGCGGGCGCGGACGATGGTCTCGACGGCGCGCGCGCGACGGTCGAGCGATGGGGCGCGCGTGGGGGGGCGTGCGCGGCGTCGAGGGCGGATCGACGCGCGCGCGCTTGGGGTTTCGCGACGCGACGTGCGACGAGCGATGGCGCTCGGATCGACGCGGTGTGGGATCGTGACGAGCGATGGGCGCGCGTGGGAGATTATCTTCCATCGTCCGCGCCGTGGGGGGCGGTGTACGCGGATGCGCGGCGTCGCACGTCGAGGATGATGGCGCGATGACGCTCGGATCGCAAGAGACTGACCTCGACGCTTCTCTCTTCTCCAACGTAGGGTATCGATCTCAAGGCCGGTGGCCGCAACAAGAAGACCAGTCGCACGGCGCCGAAGTCTGACAACGTGTACTTGAAGCTCTTGGTGAAGGTACGTGAGAGACGACGCGGGGGAGGACGACATCGTTGGGTTTGGTGAAAGCCCTAATGAGCGCAGACCGAGACGCGCGCGCGAAACGCGATTGGAACGAGAGACTGACGACGATTTCCCTGTTCGATACACAGCTCTACCGCTTCTTGGCCCGCCGTACGGGCTCCAAGTTCAACGAGACCGTGCTCAAGCGCTTGTTCATGTCCAAGACCAACCGCCCGCCGCTGTCCTTGTCCAAGTTGGCCAAGTTCATGAAGGGCAAGGAGGGTAAGGTCGCGGCCGTCGTCGGTACCATCACCGATGACGTTCGTATGTTCGACGTGCCGAAGTTGAAGGTGTGCGCGCTTCGTTTCACTGAAACCGCGCGCGCGCGCATCATCAAGGCTGGTGGTGAGTGCATGACGTTCGATCAACTCGCGCTCGCCGCGCCGACGGGCGAAGGCGTCGTCCTTCTCCGCGGTCCGAAGAACTCCCGTGAGGCGGTCAAGCACTTCGGTGCCCCGGGCATTCCGGGCTCCCACGCCAAGCCGTACGTCCGCTCCAAGGGCCGCAAGTTCGAGAAGGCTCGTGGTCGACGCAACTCTCGCGGCTTCAAGGTGTAATCGGCCTAGCGGCTTGTCGTTGGTGGTATGGTCATCGAAAGGAAACGATGAAGTGTGGTTTAGCGACGCGTTCGATCGGTGCGAAGGGAAAAGCAATAGACTTCTTTTGGAATGTGTACATCGAGCGTTCAACTTATTACAGCGCGACACGAGTGACGCGAAACGACTACCCAGAAACTAAAAAGGCTCGCTTGTTCGTCGTTACTCGCCATCGGGAGACTCCGATGCGGCGCCCTGCGCGAGTCGCGCTTGGAGCTGGCCTCCGATCACGATTGCGGTGTACAAAATCAACGTCACGGTGATGGCGATGAACTCGAATTCGCCTAGGTATCGTTCAGAGGTCATCGGATTGGTGAGAAGAAACAGCGTCGCCAGAACCCCGAAGCCGCCGACGTAAGTAGCCCACGCGGATCCAACGATCCAGACAAAATCCTTCACGAATATCGCCCGAGCGAGCATTAGAGCGTTACCCATCGTGATGAAAACCGACGTGAGCGCGGAGAGTCCCTGGAGGTTCTCTGGATTTTGTAAATTTTGCGCGATCTGTACAACCGGCATCGACATGAAGAGCACGTTGGCGGTCCAGCCCGAACACTCGGACCACTTTTCCGGGAGCTTTTCTGCACGAGCGGCGAGTAAGAGCGCTAAGACCATAATCTCGGTGGGTAACCATCCCAGGCCTGGCGCCAGAGCGTGTGAGATTATTGTCGGAGCCGTGAGAACGCCGACGACGCCCAACGTCGCCGTATATAGCTCCCACGCCTTGGCACCGAGATTACCGTGTGCGTACTCAAAGTACCGCGCCACCGACAGCGAAGAACCACCGATGACGAACGCGCTCGTCAAGAGCATCTCCACCGGAGCGACGTTATGCATGTTCCCGCTCCACGCGATTTGCGACAGCAAAAAAAAACTCGTCACCACGCCCACCACCTGCGCGCCCGTCGCCGCGCGCTCTCGTTTTTCCGCAAAGTACGACAACAAGAGCAAATTCCCTAACATCCCCGCCGCGTACGCCTGCCACGACACCGCCCCGATCGCCGCCGCGTCCCCCGTCGTCATGTTGATGAAATTCTTCCACACCTGCGGCATCGTGAGACACGCCAACGGCGCCATGGCGATGCACGACAGCGTCTCCGTGTACGCGTCCATGTCCGCGGGATCCATCGTCCACGGCGCGCGAGACGTCTCCACCGCGCGCACCGTCCCACGCGCGTCCGCGTCGCTCGCGTCCGCGCCCGCGCGCGCGCGAGGTCGAGGCTCGCCAACCGTCATCGGCGGCGTCATTCGTCCCCATTCGTCCGCGATGCCGCGCCCATCGCCCGCGCGCGCGCGTCGGTGGACCGCGCGTTGTCGACGCGCGTCCGTCGCATCGATCGCGCGACGCGCTCGGACGCGCGCGCGCGCGGGGGCGATCGTCGCCATGCGTCGACGACGCCCGACGCGCGCGATATTTTCCCGACGCGCGCCGCGCGCGGGGGGCGTGGCGTCGACGTACACGTATTCCATCACCGAAAGACCCATGTACGACACACATGGCGGCCGTGGCGTCGACGTACACGTATTCCATCACCGAAAGCTCTGTGTACGACACACATGGCGGCCGTGGCGTCGACGTGTGCGTATTCCATCACCGAAAGCTCTGTGTACGACACAAATGGCGGCCGTGGCGTCGACGTGTGCGTATTCCATCACCGAACGCCCTATGTACGCTCAATGTACGACACACATGGCGTCCGTCGCGTCGACGTACACGTATTCAACCACCAAACACCCTATGTACACGCCACATGCCCGCGCCGCCGCCGCGACAAAGGTCCGCGTCGCACACACAGAAAGTCTCGGTCTATCCGCGCGATCGACGACGCCGCCGCGCGCCCGGCGCGTCGCCCCGCACGGCGCCGAGCGCGACGGCGACGACGACGTTCGCGATGTCGACCCCCGCATCGGGCGCGTTGGGTCTCCGCGCGCGCGTCGATCGCGCTTTGGGGTCGATGGATGATGGGACGATGGGTCCACGGCGTCGACATTATCATCATCATCATCGTCGTCGTCATCGCCGGGACGACGGCCGTGGACGACCGCGGGCGTCGCGATCGGTGACGGTGAACGAAGGCGCGAGCGGGACGCGTGGGAAGAACGCGGAGGTGACGCGGTACGACGACGCGGATATCCCGCGAGGGGTGGGAAGCGCGACGAGGGAGGACTTGACGCGTTGGCTCGCCTCGAACGGGTTGCGCGCGCAAAAGATGACGCTCGAGTCGAACCTGGCGGAGGGACGGGGGTTGGTGGCGACGGAGGAGATCAAGCGGGGGGAGGCGCTCTTGGGGGTGGATGCGTCGTGCTTGATCACGGTGGAGCGGGCGATCGCGGAGGCGAAGCTCGGACCGAGGCACGCGGAGCTGCAGGAGTGGAGCGTGTTGGCCACCTTTTTGGCGCAGCAAGCGATGGCGTTGGAGAGCGGGAACGCCGGGACGTTCGGGGAGTACATTCGTGCGCTTCCGAGACGCACGGGTAGTGTGTTGGACTGGCCCGAGGACGAGGTGGAGACACTCCTGAAGGGGTCGCCGTCTCGACTCGCCGCCGCGGAGCGACAGGAGAGCGTGAACGCCGCAATCGCGGAGATTCGCTCCTCCTTCCCGGACATTACAGAGGGCGCACTTCGCTGGGCGTTCGACATCTTGTTCAGTCGATTGATTCGTTTGGACGCCATGGGGGGAGAGCTCGCCCTCGTGCCTTGGGCGGACATGTTGAACCATAAACCCGGGTGCGCGGCGTTCATCGACCTCAACGGAAGCGCCGTGAATCTCACCACGGATCGAGCGTACGCTGCGGGTGAGCAGGTGTGGGCCTCATACGGCCAGCGTCCGTCGAGTGAGTTGCTCATCTCGTACGGTTTCGCCCCAGAGGTTGGGGAAAACCCCGATGACGAGTACTCGCTCACGCTCGGCGTCGACGTCAACGACCCGTACGCCCAAGCCAAGGCGGATGTTCTCCGCCGTATGGGACTCAGCCCCGTCGAGACGTTCCCTCTTCGGTTGAACGGGTACCCGCGGCAGTTGTTGCAGTACGCGTCGTTCATCTTGTGCAATCCGGATAAACCGAGCGAGCTCGAGGGCTTGGCTCGCACGGCGTTCACGGGAAGCGCCAACTTTGGTCAGTCCATCTTTGACTCCGTACGCGGGCTCGCTCAGGGGCAGGCGCGAGGGAAACAAGGGGTGATCCTGGGTGGCGTCCCGGGTGAAATTGCCGTTCGTGAGATGCTCGCGGATATGTGCGCCGAGGCACTGAGCGCGTATCCAAACTCTCTCGAGAAGGACAAGGGCATCGCGGAGGGCCGCATGCCCGAGTTTCCTGGCGCCGACGCCTGGACCGGTGTTGCACCAGCGGCGATCAGAGCGACGCAGCGATCCGTCTCCGCGGCGCGCGTGCGAGTGTCGGAACGACGTATCTTGGCCAAAACGGACAGCGAGGTTCGCTTGCAGCTTCGAAAATTGAAGCAAAAGTCTTTGATGAGCGGTATGTGACGTGGATCGAGCGTGTTTTAGACGAGACGCAAAGTAGTAGGACATTTAACCCATAGTCAGCAGCGTAAGTCAAAATCGTTTAGTAGACTCCTTCTCGTCATCTTACAATCACCAATCACCAACTATCGTCGAGGCGATCTAATCGCCTTAAACGCGCGTCTCACTTTAAGCTTCCGGGAACATGAAGGCGCACTCCTTACCCGTGAGCTTCTTGTAAACACCCGCGAACGTATCGAGCTTGTACTCGGTCGTGTTACGATCCTTCGGGTCCAAGTAGACCTTGAGGAGGCGGGAGCCGTCCAAGCGGTAGCGCTGGCGCTTGCCGACAATCTCCGTCGGGTAAACCAAGTCTTCCAAGAGCGCCGCGTGCACCGCGGTGAGAGTGCGGGAGCGCGGGCGAGAGCGCGCCATGTTGTTGGACGGAACCGGCATAATGCGTCGGTTCGCGACGATCACCACATCCTTACCGCTGAACTTCTTCTCGAGCTCTCGCACCAAGCGTTGTTGAATCTTGTGGTACGACTTGAGCGCACGGTACGGGACGTGGATCACGATCGCGGTGCGACCACCGGCAACGTCAACTTCAGCCGCGGAGTTGATGTAGAGGTCCTTGAGCTCCGCCTTGAGTTCAGCGTTCGTCGCCTCGAGGTCGGCAATGGCCTGCAGTTCGTATAAAGCGCGCGCGCGGTTAGTGTCTTGAACTAGGAGCCCCACTCAAGCTTAAGTCGAGCTCTCGTCTGAGCCATCACGTCGCCCTTGTCGACGCGCTGAGCGCGCTGACGTCGAACCGACGATGAAGGCGAGCAAAAAGAGTATTCTCGCACGCGTATTTGTAGATCGCCCCTACGTCGTGGCCTCTTGCGGTCGTCGACGTCCCGCGATCGTCGTAGACAAACCCTAAACGCGCATCCGCCGTCTCCATCGCGTTTCGCTTCGTACCTGGGCCACGGTCTCCTCGAACGACGTGAGCGGCGCGCCGTTCGGCTTGTGGATCTGTTCAGTGAACGATTCAAGCACGTCAGTCGTTAGTTCTTCCGTCGCATCGTCGCTAAACGGGCGATGACGGTCGATCGAAAGCCCCAACCGCGGGGTCGATCGACGTCGCGTTCGCGTCGCGTTCGCGCCGCGCGCGACGCCCGAACGTGGACGCGCGATCGCGCGACGATCGATAAAGTCTCAACACGCACCTTCAAAGCGGCGGACATTCCTAAGGTTGTTCGCGCGAGGCACAGAAAGACGGATGCGTGAGCGCGCGGTGGCGACTCGGTGGAGCGAGGCAGTTCGGGGGAATATGGGATTTCGGAATAGACCCTAATTATTTGGTGCGCAGAGTCGCGCTCGATCGAAGTTGGCCGCTGGTGGACGACGATTGCAAAAAATGGGCCGCACATGTTATTTAAGTCGTCGCGCGATATTTAGTGCTCATACGGGCATCGGACGGAACTTCAAGGGCTTGGGCTCTTCGCCGCCCATGCGCTCGAGACGGTGCGCCTCGTATTCGTCGTAACTGCCTTCAAAGAAGACAACGTTGGAGTCGCCCTCGTACGCGAGAATGTGGGTGGCAATCTTGTTCAAGAACCATCGATCGTGCGAAATGCAGATGGTGGTGCCGTTCCAGGATTGAATCGCGTCCTCGAGGCATCGCAGGGTGGCAACGTCGAGATCGTTCGTCGGCTCATCCAGGAGGAGGCAGTTACCGCCACTTGTGAGCGTTTTGGCGAGCTGCAAGCGATTTCGTTCCCCGCCAGAGAGTGTACCAACCTTCTTTTGTTGGTCGGCACTCTTGAAGTTATACCAGCTGCAGTACGCGCGCGCGTTCACCGTACGGTTGCCGAGGTTGATTTCCTCGGCGCCGCCGCTGAGGCAGTCGAAAACCGACTGCTCCGGATCCAAGCTGTCGCGGCTTTGATCGACATACATGAGCTTGACGGTCTCACCGACGGTAAGCTCACCACCGTCGGGCTTCTCTTCGCCGGTGACCATGCGGAATAAAGTTGTCTTACCGGCGCCATTACCGCCAACAATGCCCACGACGGCGCCCGGCGGGATGATGCAGTTCAAGTTATCGACGAGCAAGCCTCGGCCGGGATACCCCTTTTGCACGCCATTAGCGGTGATGACGACATCACCTAAGCGCGGAGCGGCGGGAATGGTGATGGAGTCCAAATCTTCACGAGCTTGGAACTGAGCAGCCGCTTGGCACAGCTCCTCGTACTGGCGAAGTCTCGCCTTGCCCTTCTTGACTTGGCCCTTGGCGTTCGAACGAACCCACTCGAGCTCCTGTTCGATTTGTCGGTCCAGTGAACTCTTTTTCTTGTTCTCTGATTCGATGCGCTTGCCCTTACTCTCGAGCCAGGCGGAGTAGTTGCCCTCGAACGGAATGCCTTCGCCGCGGTCGAGTTCGAGAATCCAACCGGCGACGTTATCCAAGAAATAACGGTCGTGCGTGATCGCGACGACAGTGCCCTTGAACGTGGCTAAGAACTGTTCGAGCCATGCCACAGATTGGGCGTCCAAGTGGTTCGTCGGCTCGTCCAGAAGCAAAATGTCCGGCTGCGAGAGCAGGAGTCGGCAGATGGCGACACGGCGACGCTCACCCCCAGATAAATTCTTAACGAGCGCATCGCCCGGAGGGCATCGAAGGGCGTCCATCGCACGAGATACAGTGCGATCGAGTTCCCACGCGTTCGATGCGTCGAGTTTGTTCTGCAGCGTATCCATGCGCTTCATGAGTGCGTCCACGTCGGCGCCGTCCTCAGTCATCTTCATGGCGATGTCATTATATTCATCCAAATCATCCTGAACCGCCTTCACCCCGACCGCGATGTTTTCAGCCACGGTCTCGCCGTCATCCAGTGCCGGTTCCTGCGACAGGTACCCGACCTTGATTCCTGGCTCGAGGTACACCTCGCCGTCGAACGCCGCGTCGACGCCCGCCAAAATTTTCATGAGCGTCGACTTCCCCGCACCGTTCGCCCCCAAGATCCCGATCTTCGCCCCCAGGTACATCCCAAGATTAATATTCTTGATCAATTCCTTCCCGTTCGGCGTCGTCTTCTTCACTTTCGACATGCTCAGAATTATCTTTCGCGTCTCCGTCTGGTACGCGCTCCCCTCCTTGACCTCGCCCGGGGATTTATACTTCCCCTTGCTCGCCGCGCCACCGCCGCCGCCGCCCGTCGTGGGCGCGGGCGCCCCCGCACCACCCTTCTTCCCCTTCCGCGCGTCCTTCTTCCCAGCCCGCGTCGGCGTCACCACCACGGAGCGTCGCGACGATGAAACATTCGCCCTCGGGGTCTTCGGCACGCCGCTCGCCGACCCTCTCGCGAAGCTCGACGATCTCCCCCCCTCGGCGCGCGCGAGCGACGCGCGCATCGTCGCCGTCGACGTCCCGCTCGCGCGCGCGTGCGCGCGGGTCCGAGCGCGCGCGCGTGTGCGGTTCGATGCGCGCGCGCGAGGCCCCGTCACGTCGGCGCGCGCGTCTCGCCGCACCGCCTCGCGCGCCGCGCGCGCGCGCGCGCGGTCGCGATGGACGACGACGACGACGACGATGCCTCGCGCGCGCCGTCCGAGGTCGAGCGCGGTGCGCGCGCGACGCCGCGAGCGGGCGAACGCGATGCGCACCGACCTCGAGCGAGTTGGCGCGTGCGATTGGCGATCGCGCTCGCGGTGGCGGGAACGACGCTCGCGGCGTATCGCCAGGGCGCCGTGCTCGTGCGAGCGACGCTCCCGCGCGCGGCGCGGACGACGCCATCGGCCTCGCTCGCGAGCGACGCGCCGAGGTCGTTCGCGGGCGCGAGCCTGGG